TCATAAGATTCTCGTTCAGCTCAAACTTTCTTTCAACTTGAATGAATCTTTTCTTCTCCTTCTCAAACTCTGCTCTTTCCACATTTAAATTCTTTTCAGCTGTCAGATATTTCTTCTTCTCTAAGTCCAGTAATTTCTTTAACTCATTCAGATCATTCTCAGACTTATGGAACTTCTCAGTTAAATCCTTTATATCTGAATTGTTCCTTGGAGAATTCCTCTCAGCAATTAGTTCAATTTGAACTTTTTGGAGTTTGCTGAACAAATTATTATTAGTTTTAATCCTTGAATTTATCTCTTTATTACATTCCATTCTGACATCATCCAAGGATTTCTTACGTTTATCTATCTGATATTTAGATTCATCCTTAACTCTTTCTATTCTTTCTTTATGTTCCCGATTCAAAGATTTAATACATTGCTCATTAGTATAATTCTGAATTTTATACTCCATAACACTCTTTTCCAACTCGGCAATCTTCTCTCTCAACTGCTTTATAATATCTGCCATTAAAAAAATTGATCAGTTAAAGATCTATGCAGTGAAATCAGATAAAAGAACAGTTAAGCTCAAAAAAAATAGAAAAACACTAAACTGATGAGAATTTAGTAAAAATACGTGAAACTGTCAAAAATCAGTAAAAACAGTCAAAAACCGTTGAAAACAGTTAGAAACTGTTAAAAACTGACAAGAAACAGTTTACGCGAATAGTTCAAAGAATATCAAACAGTTAAAAGACACACAAAACAGATGTACAATGATCCAAAAATAAAATCTAGACACAAACAAAATACAAAACCAACAACACAACAAATATAAGCCAAAAAAAATAATAATGTCCAAGTCCAAAACAAACTGATCCAAGCCCAAATACAATACAATGTACAATTATCAACACCAGTCTAAAATATAGCTACAATGTATCTTCACTGATATGAACTCTCTTCAGAGTATGTTTAGACTTGATCTCAGACACACAATTTCACTTCACTCTTCTATCTTCAACTTTTAGCTTCCCTCTAACTTCAGTTCAGACTATCGGAGTCTTCTATGCAAGTACACTTTGTCCCACCTGGGCTGTGTATCTAATAAAAGCTTGCTATGCCTTAAACCTTCCAAAGTGTACTTTGATGTACCTGTCCCAAAAACAGTTGAACAATCAAATCAAGAACACAGTTAGGCTGTTAGCTTGAACAATTTAAACAAACTATCTGTCTAATAGCTTCAAGATGGCACTGTTGCTTTTATGACTAAGTCTGTGTAGCTAATAGAGACTGTCAAGATGAAACAAAACAGAAACTATTAAAACAGTCTCTAAACAGCCACTTAAAACACTTAAAACAACCTCCTTCTGTGAAGAAACTGAAACAAATGTCAATTCAGCAAATGCTGGCTATAGTGAAGCTAGTCTGAAACAATCTTCTCTGTGTGATGAAATAAGACACAGGCAGTAAGCAAACAGTCTAAAGTGCTCAACAAAAAAAATTTAAACTCCTCAAATCTCTAAGTCCTTATCCTTTCACTAGCTCACTCAAATCTGCTTATGAAATTGAAATACAACAGTCTCACCAACAGCAATCAAGATGCCAACTGTATTGAACTCAAAACAGATTGTAATAGCTCAAAACAGGTAACTATTCCAAAATGAACAAGGCTGTGCTGAAACCTGCACACTGTCTAAATCGAACTAGAGTTTGATATCAACTTGTCACCTGCACACTGTCAGCTTGAATGTTAAACCTATCAAGACTGTCAAGACAATATAAACAGCAATAATAGCTACAGCAACTGGGGAAGAAGCAGTAGAAGGACTAAGAAAAAATCCGATCAAGCTGTCTTCTCTCAATGATTCCTTGTCCCACCTGAGCTGTTGTTCTAGTTCACAAAATCACACACACACACAATACTGCTGCTGCTAAACTATTCTGCTCAAAACACACAGTTTAACAGATTTCTTGAAATCTAAAAACGATCACACAGAACCTGTGTGTGCACTGTTAAACAGAACCTGTCACAGCATTAATCCTAAACCTGTTGCTACTGCTGCTCACAATCCCGAAGGCAAAACAATTTCTTGATCCTTCTTTCCAAGATTGTGTGATAAACAGTCCTATGAACTCTGCTCACAATACAGCCCGCTAAACTGCTCAACACATTATCCTAATACAGACAACACACAGCTTGAGATTTTCACTTCACAAATACAAACCAGATGACCTTGTGCTCAATTTAGTGCCTAAACAAATGAACAATCTATTCTGACGAAGCTTCCTGCTAAACAGCCACTGTTCGAATCACAAACACAGATCAAAAGCATAAACCATCCACCACTGTGTCTCTGAAATCAATTGGTTTAGTACAAAACCAAATCTAAATCAGACAAAAGCTATTTGTGAAATCCGATTGAAGTTGATGTAAGCTGTATGATTCCTTTATTTCACACAAACGATGATTGATTTTAGCAAGAGCTCTAATCATACGTTGTAACTTAAATCTAGGTTGAATTTTTGGATTCACATCTCACTTTCTGAAGAAAGACAATTCCCACAATACAACAAACAGTATGGTGCAAATCGAACCCTAACACTCTGCTCGTCGACTTTGAACACAGAGAGAATGGTGAGCGGATTAAGATGTAAGAAGCAAACAAGTGAAATCCAGACACTATTATGAGTGATTTACAGTCTCTTCGAGCGATTTAGGATCATAGTGGTGAGCGATAATCTCTAAATCGACTAGATAGGTTGTCCGATTTATAATCCGGATATTTATCCGGTCAAGTGTTGATAGGTTTAGATGAGCACCGATCAAGAGATGATCGGTTTAGATGAACATCGATCAAGTAGATGAACAGATGACTAACCTTTTCGTGCGCTGTCACTTATCCGGTCAAGGCTTCCATGTAAACCGCTCAAGTATACCGGTCAAGCTGTGTGCGGTTTAACCTTTGAGACTCGAAACCGATTGATGAGCGGTGAACAATTCATTCAAAAGATGAGAGAACAAGATGAACAACATTAGAATCCGATTGAAGCTTCTGCGGTCAAGCTCTGATTTCTTCCTCTGATTTCTTGAAAACGCGCTTTGATACCAATTGTGAGTCCCTATATCACTGATCAATCTTCAATCTTCAAAACAATATGGCAGATTCTCATAAATGGCATTCAAGAACATGAAGAACATTGAGAGAGAAATTCAATCCTTACAAATCAGTCAAACCTCTCATTTATGTTCGTAATATTACAATGAAGCTATCCTCCTTCTAATTACAAAGACCACCTACTATTTATATGGTCAACATACTAAACAATASWCAAAGTCAAACTTCTATAAGAAAGTCAAACACGCTGACTTTTACAATTATAGACTATATTTAACTTTCAAGACGAATACAATTAATACTGATTTTTCAGTCCTAACATATTTCTCTGAAGTGCATGAGCAGTCTTCAATATCCGATGACTGTCGATATCTCATGAATGAGCCGACWCCCTTCTTCTCTTGGCACTTGGTTTCTACCCAGTCTCTCTCTAATGACTTTCTGAAACCTTTCAAGTGTATCCGATGAATACTTGAAGGCCTCAGTTAGTCTAAAGAACTTTTTAACCCCAAACTCATTCTTGTAAACAAGTCCAAGTTCGGGTTGAGTTAGGACTGAGGCAGATCTTGTCTCCTGCAGGTCTTGGAAGTCTTCATTTGGAGGGGTGCAGGAGATTCTCTCAATGCCTAGCCGAAGAGCAATTTCAAAATCACTCTCGGCTCTATGGTTCACCCGGGTTTCCATCGTCTTCACTATCGCTCGGTTTGGCCATTCCATACCTGATGCCATGGTCTTGCCTCTGAGCCGTATATGCATATAATTCAATCAAGTCATATGGGTTGAGTTTAATGAGGTTGTTTTCGTTGAACACGCAAACTTGCCCATGTGCTCTCTCCACAATGAACCCGATGTATTGAATGGCTCGGTTGGCAAATGTCCTTATTTTCATATCCATGACCCCCCTTATCCCATCATTCGAGAAGACAGCCTGAGGTGCTTCTGTGGTCTGTCAAATGAATCTATGATGTAGGAGGTCCATGGACTCAGGCGATAAGATTGGAGGGTTGATGGTCAAACTTTCATCGCGGTCTTGATATAGGTATTAATGAATGTTCTCCAGCAAAATTGGTTCCCTGGGTGGCAATTCAGGACGTCTCCGCATCAACTCCATGCTCTGTATGATCTCATCTACCAGGCTCTGAGGGGGTTGCCTTGATGAAGAGGGAGTATTTGCATGCACCATGGGTGGTTGGGTTGAGGGTTGTGTATGATTTGGTGAGGGTATGGTTTCTTGTGGTTCATTTGGTTTGGCTTGGGTGGTTTCAGGTGCATGGGGTTCTGTTTGGGTTTGTGGTTGTTGAGGTGATGAAGGTTGGATTATTGTTGGTTCTGGTTGTATGGGTAGGATGAAGGGTTGAGTGGTGTGAGGTGTTGGTGAAGGGGTTAAGGGTAGGTTTGATGTGGGTATTGAAGAGAAAGGTTGGTTAAGTTGTGTTGGTGGGGTAGTAGGTTCTTCATCGGTTGAAAAGCTCAACACGATGGGTTCTGGGGTTGCAGCGAAAGGAACATGTACATGTACATCTTCAGAGGGCAGAGCCTCTGGTTCCCTTGCTTGGGTTCCTTCGGTTGAAAGTGGTGGTTGTGTTTGTGGTGATGGTGGTGGTGGTGCAATGGATTCTGTTTGTTGTGCAGCCGCGGCCTCTGTCTCCCCCTCATGAGGTCCAAGACCTTGATCATCGGGGTCTTGGTCTTCATGTCTCGGCCTTTTGTGTTGGCGGCTGCTGGAGCAAGAGGCTCTGGTTCTCTTCTTATTATTGTCTTTCCTGAAGGACGCAAGATACGGCTTCAGGGGTTCTTGTCTTCCACTCGCCTCCATTGTTTGGAGGAGAGAGGTGGTGCGCCGTTGTTCATCGGCTAGGTTCTGGGAGAGAACCCTTGTTGAATGGATGGCCCGATAAATGAATTTGGCACTAATCTCGTTGAAAGATGAGACTAGCGCCTTGGACAGAGCCTGTAGGTCAGCTCTGGTTGCAAAGTCGGGGGAGGAGGATGAGGCTTGTAGTTGTATAGAGGTGGTGGTGGATGTGTATTGAGGGATGGGAACGTTGGTGATGAGGTCTCTCACCTCTGCAGTGAATGAGGAGAAGGCTTCATCAAAGGATGGGCCTGCAGAGGGAGGTTGGGGTGGAGTAGGGTGGGGAATTTGGGCTAGGATAGTTGTGGGTAGTTGGATGAGGGTGGTTTGGATGGAGGCCATTTGGTTGGTGAGGTTGGCAAGGGTAGCATCAATGGATGAGGTGGATTGAGGTGGGGCTTGAGGAGGAATTTGGGAGGTGATGGTTTCTAACATCTCGCTCCAGAAAACCCCAAATTACCAATTTTATAAAATCTCAAATAAAATAAAATTTACTGATTATTAGGACCAAAATTGATCCTAATTATTCTAAAAAAATTTATCAAAGCAATCGGGGCCAGAGACAGAAACTCTGAAAATGCTGCTAAAACGACTAAGTCTGGAGGAAGACCAGAGGCAATGGATGGACCAGAGGCAATGGATGGACCAGAGGCCATGAAGGACCAGAGGCCATGAAGGACCAGAGGCCATAAAGAACCAAAGGCCATGAAGGACCAGAGGCCATGAAGGACCAACCCTTTGAAACACACAGATCTGGGCATAACATTAATTAACCTCAAAATATGGGATATTAAATCTCTAGAAAAACTTCGAAATATCCGTTCTATTTTAGTGATAAAACTACCCAAAACACAATTCCAAACCGGATATAACGGAGTTTTTACTTACAACCCGAATTATGTAGCAAAAGAATACGGGACAAGACTATATATAAGCTACACATACTACAACTATGAGATACGGTAATAAGCTACTATTTACCCAAAAGCAAGATCGATATCTCCAAGTTCCCCGATAAATCTTCGAGTCAGACAACGGGTTCTTTCTTTTTATCCGTCTTCTTTCCTGAGAGAGGTTGCCACTTAAATGGTAAGCCAACGCTTAGTAAGTTAAATAGTTAAGYATTACATATCAATATCGCACATGTTTATAAACATACATAAYAAACTCTTATCAATAAAAGAGTTCAAGACATCATCCAGATGCAAACCGAGACTTACAAGAAACTGAGTGAACAATTACGTACCGGATGCTAAGATCATAGGATTCCATATTCAAATCACCATAGTATACCATATCATTGATGCTCAATACAACAAGGAGACAGGATCAACAACCAAATATATTCAGCAACCTTAGAATACCAATAAATATCAAGAACCAAGAGATCGAATCGGTATACATAACGAAGACAATACATCCCCCGTCCTTCACATTTCGGGCTCATGCCAAAGTCCGAGTCGGAATCATACATTACGGGAAACCTCACACTGCCCGCCTTCCTCTACCAGGTATGTGCCAAGGTTCCCCACTCATTGCTCTTCCTCCTTTCTGAGCAATAAGTATTCACAACCTCAGAAAGTCTCACCCGTCCAACCCGGGATCTTGACTTCTCTATAAACTTCTGGCGTGCCACACGAAGTAGTACCCGTACTATGGCGTACAACTCAAGGAACAAAACAAACAAGTCCGGATCCAGAAAGCAAACCAATGTACCGAGATAGTAATAAGGAATCGACTCAAGAGACGGAATCAAAGACAAATCAAGATCATGTGACTCCATTCAAGACCAAAAACATTCATATGAACATATATATGTTCAAGTCAATATGTAACAATTAACTATATAACTCACCGGGCAACCGTATAATACCGAAAAGCTCCGAATGAGCTCACAAAGCAAGTCCAATCTACCACACTTAGATTGCTTCTAAAGTATCAAATCATGTACTAATTACCCCCTGAAGTAAATGTACAAAATCTCAAAAGCAACCAATATAAGAAACTCATGATATACACATATCCTATTTGAATACTTTAAATAAATTTCTATGTACAGCTGCTGTATGCAGAACTGTTTTGCCCATTTTAAACTCGAATTCATGCCTTAAACAAGAAATAAACTAGACTCAAATATCTAACTAAGGAAATTAGCCTCACCTCATTTGAATTTTTCTACTATTTTATACAGATTTGCAAAGTCTGCACACTTTCAATGCATTCTTAAGTCGAAATTATCATTTTCATACATTTTTCTCAAACCATTTCGATTCCAAACCATTCCAACTTYTGAATMTMMACTTAATATAACATATTTGACATAAACAACCAAAATCCAACCTTTATTTTATCATTTATATTATCTCCCAAATCATTGACTTAATCAAGTCAAAGTTCATATGATGAACTTGCATAAATCTTGATAATCTCTTGAATCTAATGACCATTTCATGCTATAAACACTAAAATGCACTCATTTTATACACTTAAGATCAAACCCATATGAAACCCAAACTCTATCTCAACATGCAATCCATAAAACAAGAATGTCAACCAAGAACAAGTGCAAAAATAGATTATACCTTACTTGATGATCAAATCTTTCCAAGATCATGTAGTTCCTCTTTGATTTGAGTTGAATCAAGCCTATGTGTGTGAAAATCGCACCTCTAGTGTGTGTGTGTGAGTTCTGGACTTAAATGACAAGAAAAATGGGCCAAAACTCGAATTTATAATGATAAAACTCAAGTTGGGCCGGGTTGGCCCGGCTATGTACCCATTTTGACTATCAACACTTAAAATATTCATAACTTTTCGCTCAGACCTTTGTTTTCTATGAGGTTTTTTCCTGCACGATCATAAAGAGATAATCTATAATATCCAACAAAAATATTTCAGAAAATATCTCCCAAGAAAATCAATTTTACGTATCTATTTGACGTTATATTTTCCAAATCCTCTAATATATTCTTAAAAAATATAATTCTAAAACTTCACACCCAAACTCCCACTAAATCAT